GTGTATTGAAGCTCTAAAAATAAAAAGTAGGATTTAATACTAGCTGGATTTAACCCTTGGATTTGTGATTGTGATCCATGAGTGGAGGAGCTGTAAGTGCTAAAGCTGATCATGTGTGTAGACAAAAAGAAGTACTGATATTTGACCATTGTCTCAATGGCAAAAAATCCCCACCCCAACCCCTAATGACTGTCATATGTAAATGCTTAAAGAAAAAAAAAAAGACGATGACTTAATTAATTAATTAACCGCAGTGACTTGAAGCTCTAAAAATAAAAAGTAGGATTTAATACTAGCTGGATTTAACCCTTGGATTTGTGATTGTGAACCATGAGTGGAGGAGCTGTAAGTGCTAAAGCTGATCATGTGTGTAGACAAAAAGAAGTACTGATATTTGACCATTGTCTCAATGGCAAAAAATCCCCACCCCAACCCCAAGTCTTGTGTTTTATTCCTTAAGAACTCTGTGTTATATTACCATGGGAACTCCTAATAAAGACAAAATGTTGTTGTTTCACTAGGTGCATCTGTGTCTCAAGGTGATAAGTGTTCTGTGTAACTGCGTACCTTGGCTGGTGCCTTCAACAGATAAAAACACTGAGCTCTGAAATCGGTGCTAATGTAGGCTGATGGTAGTCCTGTGTAGGAGTGAGATGTACAGTAGCCACGGTTCCTTGGAAGATGGTGCTGGTAAAGAGGAATCAATGGTCCACAGTGTAATTTCCTTAGAGAAAAGCAAGCCTCTTCTCAGGGCAGTTGTCTGTTTAAGGCAGTATTTGGCAAAGCAGAGACATTTGCCTGAAAACTCCTGGCTCTGCATTGCAGAGATCGCTGATGAAATGCGAGCAAAAAAGAAGCTAAAACTATTGGCATAGCCCTCAGCCCTCCAATGTGTTTCTACTTGGACCCTCGTAACAGCGGTGGAGGAGGGGAGAGAAAGTACAGCTGTAAATAGAAGCCACACACAGATAACTGAATGGGGAGTGTTAGAGCTGGCTGGAAAAATGCCAGTGAAACTTTCGGTGGTGGTGGTTGGGTTTGACTGTGTCGCAGAGATGCTGTGAGTGAGATTGCATCGGATCGTGGGAAGGGCTCAGAAAGAGCCAGCATCGCTGTCAGCCGCTCGGACCGTTGGTTGCTGCATCCCTACATCCACCAGATCAACCCTCTCGGTGGTCTTCCCCCAAATCCGTGCACAGCTGGAGTTTGCAACTGACTTTGCAATGATGTTTAGCTCTTGTTCCTCATCTGAACAAAATCAAATGTTTAAGCACTCTGTGAAATGCAACTAGCTTTCTCCACACAGCTTTAAACCTGGCACCCCTATCCAGTGGGAAGTTTTAAGAGGGTTTCCTTTTTTATCTGTTGAGGGGGGCAATGGTCATCCACTAATAAAAAGACTTCTGGTTAATGTGGGGATCGTGGCTCTGTCACCAATGACATGCAGTTATTTGGCTACTGGCAGCTTAAATTAGATATTAGCATATATGCAATCAAATCCCTTAGAACAGTGTTGGTGGGTAGCTGTGCATAGGATTTATTAGCTTGTCCCAACAATCATACCTCAGTGAAAGATGCATTCAGCCTAAAGCACTGGTGTTTAGTTAACACACATCTGCAGACACTCCATTTGTTTTTATTCTATCATTATTTCTTTCTCCAGCACCTAAATTGGAAAGAAAGAAACCTCTTCCCCAGGAAATCAATTCCAGGGACTCAGTGAACCTGGTCGATGTTGGAACAGGCCAAAAAATATCAACTGAAGCGTATAGAAGTTTTCGAGGTCAGGGAGAAGTCATCAACAGCCAGATCTAAAGCTAATGTATACTGAGGAACCAAACCAGTGAGAAATGTCAGGAAGATACTCAGGTCAGTGGGGCAGTGCTGGTTGGCTGCTACAGAAGAGCACAAGAATAGCCGTATTTTGGCAACCCGTTAATCCAGGTAATTCCTTATGCTGGCAGCAATGAGGCCCAGCTCATGGCTCGTTATGTATGCACTGATTTGGTTCTCTGCAGGCCTCCCATTGACTGGTCTGTGGCCATGCATGTAAAACCCAATATAGACCTAATCTGATTTTAACATTGATACAGAATTGGTGGCTAAAAGGAGAAGAAAGTAAGTAGATGATGAATTTGACTCAGTGACTAGCTGTCAGCTCGTGAGGAGAGGTGGGTTATCAGAGCTGAGGACAACGTGGCTTGATTTATTCCTTAGTGGCAGGGTGTTGGGAGCAATAATTGTCGTTAGTCCTTGCATCTCAGCTGTCCTGCTTCGGCGTGTGCCAAGACCTAGCACAGGATTTTCAAAGCCAAGGCTTCTGTGACCTAGGACTCATTTACAGCTGTATGTATATTCTATATACATATATAGAAGCATATATATGTACCTCTCTCCAACCCAACAGGTTTTGCAGCAAAGTTAATTTGCACTATTTTGTATTTCCTGCAGGCTCAAAACTGTTTCTGCAGCTTAATACCTTCCACCACGGTAATTTGAAGGTGTCCGAGTGCATAGGCCCCCGAGGCTCCTTGGCGATACGGACCTAGTTGCTTCGCACTTCAAAAAAACCCACTCTTGGGTAAACCTTAGTGTGGGTTATGATGACTGGCACCTTCACATGGGCTGGAAACATGGTATCACGGCCCTAACTAAGGTACTATATATGACTCCAGATAGCTTGCGCAGGACAAAAATCCTATTAATTAATACTAAGTTTAATTAACTTAAATTTCCCAAGATTTTAATGACTCTAAAAATCAAAGCGTTTAGTACTTTTAGCTGCTTGCTCTACATGGATGGAAGCCTCAGAACCGGTTTTCTCCCCTTTTTTAGCACAAAAGGGAAGGTTGAGCTCCCTGCCATTAGGTGGCAGCAGGACATGCAAAAATGAAAATGGCAAACTCCCTTGAGGCACATGGATCATCTTAAGAATGATGTAGGATGTAATAAATGTAGAACATGCACAGGGCTTATGATTACTGTGACAGAGAGATGACATACGCATATATCCTCTCGATTATATTAATATATTGGATAGTATTTCAATGTTAAAAAGATATGAATCATCTGAGTGTATTCTGTTATAGTTTAAGCCTAACAAGATATCCTCCTATAATAAAATACAGAGCAAGCCATAAACTTTATCTATCAATTTAGTTACAGGAAAAAAAACCCCAAGCATTCTTTTTCTAAACAGATTTTGTCTTTTCTCCACAAAAGCATGGTGTCCAAGAGCAGAGATGAGGT